GATATTTAGTCTTTTGAAAAAAAGAAATTTGAAGGAATACACTTTTTAAAAGCGTGATTTCTAAATGGCTTCTTTTCAAAATTTTATACAATGAAATTTACTTTTTTTAAACGTGTTAAAATAAAATTTATCCTTTTGAAAACAGGAAATTTTGAAAAATACTCTTTTCAAAAGTGTAAATGATATATTCCCACTTTAGAGAGCTCGTCTATTTATAGGCATTGAAAACACTTGCGTTTAATGCTCATTTTTAAATAGGCTGTATTTTACCATGATCCATGAGGGGCACTTTTCATTTTGTAGAAAAAAGGCTTATCGGTGATTTTTACCCATATTTCATAGCTCAGCTTCTGGAATGGTTGGAGAGCTGATATTTGATATTGAGTTTTGTTCTATTGAGTTACAAAATCATACAAGATTGTAGCTGACTAACTTCAATAAAACCGGAGATATAAAGTATCAGTGTTTTTAGCCAATAGAGCTTGTTCACAGCATGGTTGCAAATAAAACCTTGGATATAAACTGTTTGGAAGCTTACGTCAGGACAATGATTCAAACTCTTACAATGAAAACTTACCTAATGGATGTGTATTGTTGAATAGTTGTCCTTGACTTTTAAATCTCTGGCTTTATTGAAGATAGTCAGTTACAATTTTATATGGTTTTGTAATTCAATGGAACAAAACTAAGTATCAAATATCAGCTCTTCAACCATTCCAGAAGCTGAGCTATACAATATGGGTAAAAATCACCGATAAGCCTTTTTTCTACAAAATGAAAAGTGCCCCTCATGGATCATGGTAAAATACAGCGTATTCAAAAATAAACATTAAACGCAAGTGTTTTCAATGCCTATAAATAGACGAGCTCTCTAAAGTGAGAATATGTTATTTACACTTTTGAAAAGAGTATTTTTCAAAATTTCCTGTTTTCAAAAGTATAAATTTTATTTTTACACGTTAAAAAAAAGTAAATTTCATTGTATAACATTTTGAAAAGGAGCCATTTAGAAGCCACGCTTTTGAAAAGTGTATTCCTTAAAATTTCTTTTTTTCAAAAGAGTAAATATCATTCTTACTCTTATGAAAGTAGTATTTTTGTAGAAGTACTACTTTAAATACTAAAACGTTAAAATTATCCTTTCAAAAGAGCGAATTCTCAATTTTCACTTTCGACAAGTGTAAAAAAGATATTTCGCTACTTTGGAAAGAGTAAATCAACGGATGTACACTTTCTTTGTCAGATTGTAACACTTTCGGATTCAGAGTATAGTGGACCAGATGCAGTATCCTTGCTTAGTACAAATTATTTAAACAGGGGATAGCGTATATACTGTTTCACCTATTCTGTTAACACCCATGCTTGATGCTCGTCCAAACACAGCTCAACGACGATTTTCCGATCAATTGCAAGTGACTCGCTGCGTCGTCGAGCAGCTATTCGGGATGATGAAAGAAATCTTTCGGTGTATTAACAAAGATAGGTGTCTGCACTATGAGCCCCTATTTGCAATACAGATTGTTAAGGCCTGCGGAGTCGTGTACAATTTTTTGAGTCATCATAGGTAAGAGTATTATTATGACTATAATATACTGTTAACAAAATAATCTTGCAATTAATAACAATAATACTGGATGATGATCAATTGGCAGAGCCTAATGAAAAAAATAATGAGTATAGACTCGGTGTTGCTGAACGAGAATCTATGATAAATTATTATTTTAATTAATTGTAGAGAGTTTTCTTTCAACAATTATTTATAGTAAGTTGATAAAATATGTTATGATGTATAAGATAAGTTTTACTGTGTGCAATCGATTTTTTACACGTTTGATATAATCATAATTGTAAAATGAGTGGAATTACCAAAGCTGCATTGTCAACTATGTTTCATAAGTTTACTTTTTGACACTGAAACAAAAAATTAACACTTACGTTAAAAAAAGAAAAACAATGTATGTTGATTAGGATAGTAGTTAGTGTTGACGTCGATTTCGAAGGTGACTCTTACCTCAATGCGAGCCTTCTTCCAAAATAATTGGTACATGACACCATTGGTACTCATTAAGAAATAAGCTGATTCTATTGAATCCAAGAGAATTGTAGGGGTTAAAAAAATAGTATTCTTAGTTTAGCATGTAACGTATGATGGTATTATTAAGTCAAAATATAAATTCAAAGTGAAAAATTTAATGTTTTGTATTATAGTCAAGTTACTTTTTTCATAGTTTGTTTCATTCTTCAAAAAGTGTTACGCAGGGTATCGAAAGAAATTTTTAAAAATATTCAATGAGTGAGCAGTTGGTATAACTTTTTCATCGTTACATTAAAATTCTGAAATAAGGTCTTTGTTCAGGTATGAGCCATCTGAATAACAAAAAAAAAGAAAAAAAAAGAATCATTTAAAATACATAAGGAAATCTGTAAAGCTTTTTAGTTTTATTCGTAATATTAAACCCTTCTTAGAATGTTCACCGCTTCATTCAGTCTGTAAAACAGGGTGTCGTTCACTCACATTAAGTTTATTGGAATATTGTAGTTATAGATTAATATTTTTATAAAACATTTTTTTAAGTAACAAGATTAGGCTAATGTTGACTAAGTTGTCTAAACGTATGTATTATCAAGGGCGTTCAGTATAAAAATGTGTGATTCATCAACACCTAGTCTTTGTATCATGCCTGTTAATCATTTAAAGTTTTTTTACCATTAAGAATTGTGATTAAATCTAATATTGAGTTCTATGTTTAAAAAATTTGTACTCTGGTGTTTATCATATAATAAAATTAAAATTCATTCTAATTGTTTTCTGCACATTCTTTTTAGCGTATATTATATTCTTACCAGGTATTTTCTTCTCTGACTTGCCTTAATAATTATTATTTCGTAATGAAAAGCTGTTTTCTATGATAATGTGAACCCTAACGAATTATGATTCGTCATAAAATTTATTAATAAATGTGTGTGAGTGAGTGTGTTTACATATGTATGTATTATTCATGTGCATGCATCAAAGTAGCGTAAAAAGGTCAATGGTAATACAAAACCAATTTCCCATGACATTCCTACAGTCGGCACATCAGAGTCTTATCATACCCTTGCACTGTGACGGTCACGAGAAGGGAGCACCCTACACCCAGGATAAAGCCCCAGGAGGACCTACCCTTACTCTCCTCTTTGAACGATACTCTCGAACCTCCTTCAAAAAGTTTTATGTTTTTCTTGTTTCTGTACCAGTCGATATCAGTACATTTGTGATTTTTCTCTTGTGTTTTTTATCAACAAAATTATACAACTCAAAAACCTTATTTTTTATGTCATTTTTTTCGATATTTTTGATGTTTTCTTACAATTTGTTTTGTTTCAATGTAGCTCAACGTTGAAAAAATTACCTTTTATGTAATTTTTTGGTTGAATTTTTTTTTTTTTTTTTTTTTTTTTTTTTTTTTTTTTGTTAAATTTTAGAATGTATCGCATGATAAGGCATGCTATAGACGTTTAAAAGTTACAATCCAGTCCATCTTAGTGTGTTTTTTTGTTTGCTACAAATCATTACATAAAATGCCATATTTTATCCGAACTTTATATATGTTTGATTCTAGACTGATTTAGCAACTTAATACTAGGTGAAAAAATGTTTTTATTTGGAAGGTATTAAGATCAAATACTCTTAACTCATTGTCAATAAAAAAGAGAAAGAATGTATTAGTCATTGATATAGTTGACGCAGGAAGCTGTACCAAATATCATTGATAAAACACGGAGACTAACAAGAGTCATCACCAAATTAACAGTGAGAAATGTATGTACAAAAGGCATAACTCATAATAACGTATTGATTTGATCCAAGTGTATCAAATTCTTATTATCGATCAAGTGTACAAGCAAGCGTAAGACACCTTACTCGTCTCATAGCTGGGCAAAGTGTCGTCTGCTCACTCGTTTCTATTAGATTGCTTACCACGCACACACATTTATAAAACCCTTAACATATCTCTTTATTAAGACATACGCGCTTGCCTACTCCCACAAATACTGCACTATGACTTGAAAAGTGAACAATAAACGTAGTAAATAAATGTATGATACATTTTTTCATAATATCTTATGGTTTTATTAAATATTGGACTGACGGCTTGAAATATGAAAATATCTAACAAGATGCACACATTTTTTAACAGCTTGTATAAAAGTGCTGAGTCAGACATCTTGTATTTGTGCCTGGATAAAATTTTTTTGTAATCAGTTGACAAAAAATAGTGTGCATGCCTCAGCTAATTACATTTTTAATTTAACACAACTAATTTTACTGCATTTTCATGATTTAATCCATTTATTTTAAATGTTCATATCACATGAGTTTGAAGTCATACCCTTTTTCTTTACCTCGTCAGAGACATGGGAAAAATGGCAATAAATTCTATTCTTACTCTATAGAAACATATTTTTCATCATACTGCGCCGAAAGTAGGAACTTTCGTCTCGCTTCGCAGGACGAAAATCTCTTTTCTTAACGCAGGATTGATGAAAAACAGAATACGCACCACATTCGGACGTTAAAAAATGCATTAGATTTCACGTTAACTACCCTCGGCTTCGCCTCGGGCGTTTATTCACGTAAAATCTAAGACATTCTTAACCTCACTCACTAAGGGCGTAATATACTGAAATAATAAAAGAGTTACATAAAATATGGGAGGGCTCTTGAGATAAATTGCAGGTCTGCTGAAGGTATTTCGGTGGGGTAGGAGGTTTGTCCAATATTTTATTGGGTTGCAATAAAAAAGAAATTACAAAAACTTCCCCTTATTTTACAGTAAAGTGGGTGGCTTATCGTCTACCCCGTAAAATGTAACTACATATTATAACAATAGATTAAAACTCTATTTGAGTATTATTCTCAACCTTTGGGAAGTATTTTCAAGTACTTGTTCACTTTTAGAAAAATGTCAATTGTTGCCTAAAAGAAAGTTACCAATACACAATATTTTTTATTTCAGGCTTCTTATGGATCTTCTCTTGGAAATTCATCTTTTACTAGCTCTACAACAAATAAAACTATGCCTCCTCCTTCAGGGACTCAACAACCTAGACGACATCCAGATTTCGTGAAAGAGCAGTCATTCTCCACCTACAGTCAACGATCAACTTTTTCAGGTACTGAAGTTATTTACATAATTTGACAAATATAAGGATTAGGGCAGTCACAACTCTGAATGAGAATATGGTACATCAATAAATGTGTTTATTTGTCATCTGCAATATTATTTTTAATCAAGTTAATGAAAAACCATGAATAGGTAATTTAATGATTATTTTAAGAAATTTAGAATTTTTCTTGTGTTTGTCCATTTTTTTAAACAAATCTTGTGAAATTTTCATGAAAGCTATTATTTTCTTCCAATTCCTGTCTTGAATTTATAGATTTTTAGGTTAGGAGTCTCGAAATTCCTGACAGAATCGAAGCTATTATATGTAGCAGAAAAAAATTATCTGACATTAATTGTACTTATAATGTATGTAGATACACATTCGTATACATGCCAAAGCATTCACGTGGGCCTACACACCCACCCATCCAAACACTCACACACACATTTTTGGGACAAATATTCAACACTTTATTATCAAACATGTAAGTAAGTATTGTTTGCTAAAGAAAAGTACATAATAATTATAAAATTGAAAAAAAATGTACAGCTGATAGGAGATAGATACAAAGAAATCTGTATAGCAGACGGTTAGTAAGGTAAATGTCCCTTTTATGACAACAAATTTGATCCTACTTGTATCTTTGATTTTTTTTTTTTAAGTTGTGAGCTTTCACGGTTAAAATTTTAGTTTTTACTCGTGTGCTATAAACTTACCATTATTATTTTTATTTTTAGGTGTGGTTCTTAATTCTTGAATTCCTTTTCTTATAAAAAGATTACAAGACCAGAATGTACATAACTATGAAACATTGTTTCTATTGTTTCATAATTATGTTCCTATCTATGAAACTTTAAAAAAAATAAAAATTTAATAGAATAATATAAAACAGTTAAAGTTTTGTTACTTGCATAACCCTATCGTATTTAACAGAAATAATTTCAACGTTTATTGATTCATTAAAATTGTATAAATTACTCGTTGAAGTTTGGTACCAGAATATGTACATTTCTAAAGATAGGTTATGTTTAACTTTGTTCGTATTATCATCAAAATTGGTCATTTACCGTATATATGATGAAACTTTTCTGACGAATTCATAAATATGTATAGAATGTACAATATCACAATTACTTTGATAAATATGTTGCATAACAAATACATGAATTCTTATGTTTCATGAATAAGTCCACGTTCTACGAGTAGGGACATTTACCTTATATGCAGTGGAGACATACGGTAGTACAGCTGAGCCGAACTCTGTCTGCTCCCGCGCGATTGAGCCAATTATGTACTGCGACACATACTATTGTGCAGGTACTACAGATAGATTTACTTGTGATTGTTCGTGCGTGATGCACGCCATTTACGACAAATCAGGATATTCTATTCCAATATTTAATTCTGCTATGGATTTTTCTTCGTGTAGGTAGGTATAGACTTGTTACCAGTAAGAATAAGCAAGAGCTGCAGAAGCTGTTGCTGCATGCAAAAATATACATGTATGCAAGCGTTGGCTGAATTATGAGTGTAAGTGTATCATATTTATAGTATAGAGGCCAGCTCGGCTAGCTGCTCGCCAGTCAGCAGCAGCAGCATTGTACTGTATATGTGTAAGTTCAATTCACAGCCGCTGGAGGTACAAGAGATAGACTTCGTAACCATGTCGCAAAATTATGTCAGTTTTTAGAAAGTGACTTCCCAAGCCGAGCTCCCGACCGTTCCATAAAAAGCTTTGCTTCAAATCAATGTGTTTAATAAAAATTTGTCATATTATATGTATGAAAGATACTAATCTTATAATATATGATGAACTTTAAATGTTAATTATTTCATACATGTATACCATTCAATATATACTTAGTTCAGTTTTTCTTTTTGAATTAATTTTTTTTTTTTTTTTAAAGAGTTATGCACTATATAAAATGTAATTGTGCAATTACTGGTTCTTTAAAATCGGAAAAGTTATAACTTAATGATGCTAAAGAAAATTTTAGTCCCTATTTGTAGCATTCTGATATTGAAAATAAAATTTTTCGTATAAAAGGGGCAGACACTCCGTAACTTAAGTATACTCCTTCTATTAAACACTTGCACACGATTTTACCCTCTCCACCTGATGTAGGAGAGACCGTAGCGTAGCCTATGTAAGGAGTCGCTATCGAGAACTCGGGACAGATGGTCCTACACCATTGATGCATACAAAGCCACCATTAGCTAACTGGACATACTGGCTACCTATCAGGACTTCCACCTCTAACCAGCGACACTCGACGGGAGCAATCCTACTAGTGCCATTGATCAATCAAATGACTACGATCATTCTACCGAACACGACGACGCCCACTCACTTATCTTGGCCTCTCCGTCCTCTCTTACAGAATCCCTGCGCACTACACTGGCTGAACTAGCGACCATTCGGAATCTTGACACCAAGATCCTCCTGGAGCTGCTCTACCTCGGCACACCCGAGAAGGTCACGGGGGCGCACTGCACCTCCCCCAATATACTGAAAAAAGTTTTGAGGGGCAGCTACTCCGAACCGTGGAACGTCCACTCGATATGAACGCTGACAGTCGCTTATGACTCAGATTGACAGCGAGTATGTGATACATTACAAAGAGGAGCTGCCATCTTATGAATGATGGACGACAGATCCTCACTGCTTTGAGCGGCAGTCCCTCGCGTACTATTCCGCAGCATATAGTTCCAAATGATATGTGTTAAAAATAATTATTATGCAACTATGGAATTTTATAAAGAGGTGTACTTCCATTCGCATTCCCATTCATACGTTGTCAAACGAAATTCTAATGAAGATATTAGTATGAATCTTAATTTTTTTATAGATATAGAACCAGCTCTATTTACAATAAAAAATATCACGCCAATTTCTCAAAATGAACAAAATGTAGAATCTTTAGTATGTTTAAGGTCAGGCTTGTAAAATAAATTATAAATAAAAATAAAAGAAAAATTTTTTCTACACATATCATCAACTCATGTAATATTCCTTTTTGATAATTCTCGCAAGTCTCTTAAAATTCATCAAATACTTGTAATTTCATAGAGATGAATAAAAAATCAACTACGTGAGACTTCTTTTAATGAGTCAATCTCGATATCGTGGATATATGAGGTAGCTAGAGAAAAAATTTTAAAAGAATGAGTCAAAGAAAATGATAAATTGGAACATATTGTAGAGGAGAACAAAGCAGTTTTGAGAACTAGAAATTTATTACAAGAAAAAAAGGCTGAAATAAAATATTCCACTACAGAGTTTAAAGATCTTTTAAAATTAACTACGTAACAAAAAGACAACGACTATAACAATATAATAATTTGATAAAAGGAACCAAGAAAGCGGAGATAAAGAAAAAAATTTAAATATAATGATTGATAAGAATAAATGTACAGAGTAATAGGTTAAATAAAAACAAAAACGAAAAAGGCAAAAAAGGGTGCAATGAAAATGTATGATTCCCTTTGTTTGAATGGAGCAAGAAAAAAAATGTCAGTGGGATGTCGAGAAAATATATGTATTGAATAGACAAATTACAAAAACTGTATTAGAAAAGATAAAATTGATTTGTAGTGAAACCAAATAAATAAATAAACATACTCTAGATTTCATTAAACTTCTACCACTAATCAACCATATACAAATACCTAAACACACACTCACGCAAGAAAACTTATGAGGTAATCTTTGCTCAAGAGAAGCTGATCGTAGCATACCCTTTTAAGACGCACCAGTCCAAGTAGTTGAGATTTTTTTCGTCAGGATACTGCATCGCAATAATTACTACTAAATCAAAAACAATATTTAGAGTTTTCATCAATAACTGTGAAATATGGAAAATTTAGTACATAGCAGTTAAACCACTCAGTAACAAAATCCATGAAGAGTATGACGAAACATTGGCTAACAACTTTGTTAAAGCCATTTCAAAATAGGTCCTCTTTTAACAAAAGACGCTAGTTTGCAAAAACTAAGAAATATTTCGACACTCAAATAAAATAATACATCGTAAGCTACTGGAGGAACATTTTTTTTAATCTACAGCTTTAATTATGCATATGAGCTGGAGTTGCAAATTATTTTAATAAACTACAAAAAATCATGGCTGAACTGACTCATGTATAGCATGGCTTTTTTGGTCTTGGAAGTGTGCACTATGTTTAAAACTTTTTCTTATATGATTTGTTGTTTTTTTTCTTGTCAGAGAGAAAAATCTATTTTTTGTACTTTGTACTTTACTGTTTTATTAGCACGCATTTCTTAGATCAACATCACATTTATAATTTAACATATGATTACGATTATGTCCACGATGACCGTAAAAAGATAGGTAAGTAAGTTAAGTTTGAAGTCTTTTTTTATGTCTTCTAAGTGAAAAGAAAAGAAATCTGGTTCGATCGAAAAACATTTCTATTTCTATTTCTTTTTGTAGGCTATAAGTAACAGTGGGATAAAACATTATATTAAAAAATACATTTAATAACTATCATTGACAGAACTCGTTCATTGATTTAAAGAGTTTATTAGTTTAAACCTGGAATTTTTAATTCTAATTCTTAATAGTTAAGACCTTACATCTATAAATTTAAAAACTTTTAACTAATATCCTAAACACGGGTGATCTATTCATCTTGACCACTGAACCTTTTAATTCAAACACTCTAACACCATAAAGTTAAATCCTATAAGTATGAAACTATGCAACTCTAAGATTGTAAGTTCTGAAATAATAAATAATTGTAAGTAAAAATTTTGAGATTCAACAATTTTAAGCCATAAAATAAAAAGAACGAAAGCTGGAAGTCTGTAGCTGCAATCTTACTATGAGGCATAAAATCTCAAAACACGAGACATGTAGGCTGAAAGCATTTGTGAGTGATCGTTGAGAATAAGTCTACAATTTTGTGGTTTCACTCTTCGTGATATATTTGTTATTATTCCACCGTTACTTGCACTATAAACTACTTGGCCTCGTGAGCTACTTTATAAATTAAAAAGGCAATAAACAAGTATTAAAGTATTAAAAGTATCGGTGTCTTATTACTTTAGATAAAAATTTATCATTCAAAAAAAATTTTTTTTCAATCATGCACTACATTAAGGGCACCATTGTGTTTAAACCATTAAAGACTGAGTGATGAAATTATAGTTGTTATCAGCGCAATCAAATTTGACTTTTGTCGTTGTATACTCACTTTGTTTCGGGAGTCAGCACTACTTTATTTTCTTTTGGTAGTATACATATGTCTTTACATATCACTACTTGCAAGTAGCTTTTGTAATATTCAATGTGTATTTTAATCTAGTTTTATGTAACACTATGTTTTATTTAACAAGATTATGTTTTATTCTTTTCATCGTGCTTCAAGATCTAGTGCCCTACTCCTAGTTACTTATTGATAATGTCTTCAAACTTAAGCTGGTAATACGTATAACTCATTACCTCACACTTCAATTGACATGCTTGTCATAATTCAGAACTTGAAAAATTACATTTTCTTTGATTCGTACTCTAGTTATTAACCTTAGAGTCAGTATGAAAATCGTGATTATAAAAAAATTTTCTATAATTTCAGATGTGATTTTTTAAATTTCTTAGTAAAATAAATTAATATGGTTTGGTTTTTTTTTGTATCTACGACTTTTTTCAGCTTTTCCCATATCAGAGACACAGTCGTGTGCCGCGCACTCAGAACTGTTTGACTGAACGTAGTGGAAGGGGTAGTAGTGGCGGTAGATGTCCAGACACTCTTAGTGACACTACTCAACGCACACCCCAGCTACTATCAAGTTTTATGGAAAGATATATTCCAATAAACCATCTAAACTCGCTTTACCAACCTTTTTACAGCTGGCAGTGACTTTTACCCGATGAGATGGCCAGGTGTCGGCTTTTTTCGAAAAGGAAGCCCCTCGAGGTCTAGACACTACCAAAAAAATTGACTATCAAAAATACAATAATATACTAAAACTTTTTTATGCTAAAACAAAAAAGAAGTTTGATTAATAAACGTATAATTTATGACTAGATTTCTTGAAACTAATATAATTTTTTAAAATATTTTTATGATCCAAGATTAAATTTTTTTTTCCATTTTGTTTGTAACTAACTGGTTAATGTTTCTAGGTTGGCCGGCAAATACAAGTCAGTATGGTAACACTAACGTAGTGCGAATGACGTATTCCAATCAACAATTACAACCTTCTCAACATCAACAAACGCAACCAACTCAAATATCAGTTTCTGCATCGATTTCATCGACGACAAGTTCAAATAATAATCATCAATGGAATAATCAACAAAATCCTAGGACTAATTCGCAAACATCTGTAAATACACTGTTGCATACGTCCTCTCCTTGGGACCAGAGATACAACCAAACGTCGTCTATTTATGCCTCGTCTGGGTCAAGTCAGGTATTTATCTTTGTGTGTGTGTATGTGTATGTATGTGTGTGTATAACTTGTAAACTTATATCAAATTGCATATTATATACAATCCACTAATTTATCATTTAAATGCCGAGAACTTGATCACTATAAAGTTAGTAGAATATTTAGATATGTAGTTAAGTATTTAGTGTTGCCAAATTGTAAAGCAATTCTTTGGATTTAAAGTTTTCATGATTAAAAAAAGATTCATCATCAAAGGTAAAGTAGGGTATATCCGGACAGTTTTTATAAGAAAAAATTAAAATTATTTGTCTACGACAAAGACTCACATTCTTGAAACAAAAAATCGTTTTTTACTATTAAACAACCTTTATTTGTATTGATAAAAGAAATTTTTTTAAATTATTTCTACTCAAAAATAACTAAATAATTAACTTTAACTTTAAGACTTAACTTAACATCGTTGCAAAAATTACGTATCTTGACCACAACTAATGCAGTTTAAGTACTTGCAAACTTTTCGGACCCGCACATTATGTATTTTTAGTGTGTCAGACTACTGCCTAATATGAATTTCAATGTTATACAATGGAGTGTAATCTTGGATGGTCCAGAAATTTAAATAAGGAAGAGTGACGTACCAAATCATTTATTTATTTGATAATACTGGAGCTTCGCACTAAAAATTTCGATCATTTATTTTTATATGGATCTGCCTCATGAGTTCAAATATATTTTTGTCTACTGTTACTTACCGAAATGATTATGGGTTAAAATAAATTTCACAGCTGTTCAGCTGTCCCCTTTAATTTCTAAGTGTCTAGATTCACCCTCCTTTACCTCTAAATAATTTTTAGATATTTTGAGTAGTTGCCTACATTTGATTAGTATGTAAAAAATTTTTTTGTGGTTTTAAACTAGACAAGTAGATAGCCTTAAAAAAAAGAAAAAAAGATTGTTTTTTTAAGCACGCTTTTTTTGTAAAAATCAAAAAAAATTAGTTCAAATGTTTGAAAAATACTCCTAACCATCAATAAAATTTATGTGCCACTAAATTTATAATATAAAATAAATGTTAAATTTCTAAGTTGACGTGACCTTTATCTTCATGACTTGTGTTATAAGTCATCATTTAGTTAAATTTCTACGAAACTGTAAAGATTTTTTTTTGCAGGGCCAGACATGGTTTTAACCACAAGGCCTTAGTAAAGCTACTAAACTATACTATACTTATTAAACTCGGAAATATATAATTCTAAAAGAACATAATTTTAACTACTTGTAAGTTACAAAAATTGTTACAAGTAATGTAACTAACTATAGTGCTATCATTATTTCTTATACTACCGTCGTTTTTGACGTTAACGATTTGCAACATTCATTTCATGATATGCTCTTAACATCTACTCGTTTTTTTTCTATTGCCAACGATCATAATAGTTTTGGTGATTTTGCGGCTGCTCTGATACTTTCCTTCGATGTTACATTATGTGATCTACACATTGTCTGCTCTCAAGTACTGTCTTCACTGACATCCTATCTCTATGAGTGTTTCCTTATAACCTTTAATTCAAAATATTCAAATTTTATAAAAAAATATGTACAAAATGAAAAGTTATTACAAGATATTTGGTCTATTAAACTAGATATATAATCTTAATATAATTAGATGTAAAATGAAAAATAAAATATAAAACTCAGTCGTTAGTAAAAGCCCCTGTATGTAGGCCCAAAAGTATGACAAAAATTAATAAATAATAATAATTTTGTTACAAANGGGATCATCGCTCGAGTTTTCTTTTTTTCCTCATTTGACGTTACCGTGGAACCGACCGTACCCTATTCAACTGCATTTTTGCCAGGGTTCAATGAACTCGGAATGACCTTGCTCGTAGCCGAGGCGATTACAAGCTACGCCGTATCAGCTGCGTTTCGGGCTCCTCGAACTAGTATAGCCCAAGAAAAGCCATCGGGTGTCGATAAGCGCACGAGTTTTCCAATGTGCATACATAATATATATATATACTTACCGCACGATGCACCAAAGTGACTCCACGCAGTGATATATATATATATACATACATACATATTTAAACAAACTAATAAAGCTTCACTTTCTGTGCGCTTTGCGCACCGACTCCTGAGGCATCGATTATAGCTTCACGTTTTCTAAAAGATTTTGCATAAGTTTTCTTTTTGGATCTTGATTACCTTATTTACCATCGTTCTAGTGTTCTAATAATGATAATTATAAGTAATATATTACTAAAATTGTATTGATATAAAATTTACGAGATTTTTAGTACATTTTGTTGTATAAAATATGATCACCACATATATGCTGCTTTGTCTGGTAAAAAACTTAAAATAGTGAATTAAGCCCTACACCTTAAAAAAAAATAATAATTAACATTACATGCATAATAATGTAGCACACTAGGTGATTTTAAAACATATCTTTTTTATAATGCTTCTAACATCACCTTGTGTGTTATATTATCATGTCTGTAAGTATGGCAAAAGAGCAAGTAAAAAAGAGAAAATATTCAAAAATTAATATTCTTAAATTAAACCAAAAAATATGATAAAAATGGTCATTATTTTTAAGTATAGTTTCAAAAACCATATTTTTAATCATAACGTCAAGAATAAAAAAAAAAAAAAAAAAAAAAAAACTGGAAAAAAAGAGCAACAGCAAATTAAATATAACGTCTATTAAATATCATAAACAACTTTTGTGAAAGTAATCAAATATTAAGCATTTAAAAATGGTAAACAACATCCGAAGATTAAAAATCTGTAGTAATTCTATCAATAGGCAATCTAAAGCGCTTTAAAGATACTGCATTCAATACGAATTTAATCAAGAACAGTACAAGTTGATAAGACTTTTAGTAAAGCTAGCATAATTATGCATCCTATGCAATTACAACAAGTTTTTAATTGGTTTAAATTTTAGAAAACATTAACGGCAATAATTTATAGAAAAAATATAAAACTTATTTTGTCAATAATTTTGTTTACAATAAAAAATAACCGTGCTCTTCTACACGTAAATAAAATTTTGTAAATTTGGAGATGAATCATGCCTATTGTTTAATTTATCCATCCCAAAAAAAAAGTAAAATGGTGACACTAAGAAGTTTTGCATTCTGTAAACACCCGTTTAATTGAATTTATTTTTATTTAAATAATGAATAGGACGAAGAAAAACGTTTCGTACGAAATATTAATAAATTTATCGATTTCTCGAGGTAAAAACATTCTGTTAATGGCAATGACTTTTGGTTTACCTTTGGACTTTATCAGTATAGAGAGTGTATTTTGTTAAATAGAATCTGAAACAAAACATTATGCTAAGTTGCTTTAATAACTTTAGATGAAGCCTCCAGGATTAAAAAAAAAACCTAAGGAGTAGTAGACAGGACTCTGCGGGATTGGTGCAATACAAACATACATTTTAGAGACAAAAAAATTGTGTTAGAAGGTAATTTTCCCCTATTTCTGTCAAGTTAGGGCTCTATGTAAGGAGCCACGCTTAAAATTCTTAAAGCAAAATCTGTATTATACAAATTGGAGAAACGTGATTTTTAATGGTTTGTTTCGATTCATGAAAAAAGTTAAAGGTTACGTCAAAAAATAATTAAGACACTAATCACAAACTTTTTTATAATCTACATTTTGTATATGTACTTTTTTTGATTTGATGTAGGGTTTTATTTCTGTTTTTTGATATGCCCCGCTATATAAATTGCTACTTTAATTAAAGTAGTAATATAGGTACCACATTTAAAAAAGACGTGTTTTATGTAAAATTTGATAATGAATACGTAAAAAATAACAAATAATCGCCACACGATAAGTACTCTTCTTAAAAATTTATTAAAACCATTTGAGTATTAGGAGTAATGTGGTTTGTTAAAAATTTTTATTTGAAATACTTTTTTCTTAAAACTAAGTCTTCTAACTTTAAAACAAATAAAATAAATAAAAAGTTTGTAGATCGAATACTTGTTTGCTTGAAAAGTTGTTTTCTTAAAATGTTTAGTCACTTACATTATTAAAAACACGCGAAAAAAATCCTTGGACTAGTATCTTTCATTGTTTGTATGGAATTTACCAAAAAAATTTCAACGAAATCGATGCTGTATTAATCAAAAAGATGTTTTCTTTGTCTAAGAATTATTCATGTTTGCATGCGTACATAGTTAACCATATCTCACAATTCTTTTAATTGGTCTTCACAAAATTTGGCTTACTTTTTGTGTGTCATCCTATTTTCTCAAGATGAATATTTTCTTTTATTATTTGTTTTCACGTTTACGTACTTTACGTTGATTTCATGTACATCCATTGCATTGAAATTGTCGCGCAGACATAATATATACACACTAGGAGCAATCAGCAACGAAAAAAAAAGCGTTTTTAACGAGCAATAATTTCATTCGTTTCTCGGGTGACTTGTCTCTCGGGGATAATCAAGCCACCTTTTGACAATATCATTTTTCATGTTGTACTTTTTCCATCGAAACAACAATACAAGCGAATCGTCGGAACTACCGCGACAACAATAAGCTCTTCATGCCAACTGTCGCTGCGATTTTTTTTTTTTTTTTTTTTTTTTTTTTTTTTTTTTTTTTTT